TCAGTGGTTTGCAGATACAACCTTTGTTGGTCTGGTACGACCAGTAGACAACGATCAACCCCCAGCTTTATAGGAGCCTATAGCTGGTTTAATCTTGATTCTGTGACACAAGAAAGGCAAAGAAAACAAACCTGCGTGTAGTGTTACACTGTCAGTTTATGTGCTTGAATGCACAGTGATCACAGCTAATTGTTGTCTCCAACCTCACCAGGTTCAATTTCACTCCTGTTTAAGGGTGACTGAGGAGAACAAAGAACAGGGGAGCAATATCACATTCTAGAGGACATTTGTTTTCAGTGGCTGATTGGTGGTCCTGATGAATGTGTCGCTCCCCCGCAGCTAAGGTGTAACATTTAATTAAATATAAGATTCTGTTCAGTTAGTAAACTGAACTGAATCTCTACGTGGGCTGCAATGGAGTGTATCACAGTATAAAGAATATAGTTAGTTTAAAAAATACTGTAAACTTGCAGTTACTTTTGGCAGGAAATGTGAGTTTTTGGAAGATGTTACCATTTTTTAGAGCTTTCTAAAACTTAAAAACTAACCTAACACTAAAATCTACAAAGACACCAAACAGTCCATACATAATAACTATTTAATACTTACACAGGCTTTTAAAGCTGAGTTCTGTGAAGATAGAAATAAACATCTCTGTGGATCTTTGCAGATCAGGGTGTTAGGCTGGAGATATACTAGCTTTTAACCATGTGTTTGCGTTACATTAATGTCTGAGAACGTGCGCAGCCAACGGTCCAAACTGATGCAGATTATGCGAGGCCCCATCATGCGCACACCAACACGTAATTAAAAGCAAGTATATCTCTGTCCTTATGGCATATGGGAGGCTGGCAGAGGAGCCAATGTACACATCTCCCAAATCTCAACAACATGTTGCTGAGATTGCTTGGCTGATCCAACTTCCTGTTGGTATTAAAGTATAAATGTTTCAACACTGAAATCATAACTATAATTAACCACACATCACAATGTGTGCCTTTGTGGAATTTTTTTAATTTGTAGAATTTTGGCCCCTCAAAACATAGGCTAGAAGACCTGTGAATGGAATCAACCCTACTGGCAAGTAAAGGAGTAGTGTCTTTCCTCTTCTTTGATACATTCATGAAAGTGTGTCTGTGTGTATCTGAAAACAGGATATAGGCCACAGGTGCCATGGAAACAAGCCAGCCGGAATCAAAACTGAAACAAGCAGAAAGAGACGAGGAAACCTGAAAGATATGAAAGAAAATGTACATGTACTATATGTACACTAATATAAACTTGCCTCCATGTCTCATTTGTATATTGAGTGGAATTCCACTGAATGTATATAAGTATATGTATATGTTTATATTCATGACCTCAGAGTGTTCCTTCATTCTTGTGAGATATTTTTGTAGAACCTTTATGGGTTGTGTTTTAAGAAGACATTCAGATTACAACCATTCAGCCTTAGTGTTTCAGAACTCCACCCTACTAGACAATCAAGTTCACGATTAGCACTGGAATGGAAGGAGAAGTTCTCCTGGGAACCGTCTGGAAAGTGAAACCACACAAAACTGCCTCTGTGCCCTCATGGTCTTCTGCACTGTGATCTCTTGCCGAGGCCAAACCCCATGACTTGCCCAAACACCTTGCATCATCTGAAACAGAGAAGCTCCATTGATCCACAAGCCACCCCAGAGTCCCCAGGCATGACTAATGGATAGCTCCTCTCATCAATAAATAATCCCTGGCCAGCCATAAGTGAGATGGGAGACGCCTGCTTAGTGTCAGTCTGGCACTGCCGCTTCAGCGCAGAGCTAGCTTTAAGACCTGTCACTAAACATCAATATAGAGCTAATGTATGCCTGAAGCTCGGTGTTTGGCACTTTATCAGTGAAACAGTCATTTTCAATCCATCAGTGACATATTTGGGCTATTGAGCTTAATTAGAATCATCACGATAGCTGGTCCAACATCGCAATTACTAGACAAGATCCAGCTTTGAGAAGACAGTATGTAAGAGGAATGGGCAATAGAAACTATATACTATGCACTGCTTGACAACATACAAATGCAAAATTATATTACATAAACATGATTTTTAACCAATCGGACATACCATTTCATAAAGAAAGAGACAGGGAATCGTGGAAGTCTTCAAGCATCCTCACAAGTAAAGTAATACTACTACTTGAAGGACCAGTGTGCAGGATTTAGTGACATCTAGCGGTGAAGTCGCAGATTGCAACAATTTCAGCTCAGCCTTCCAAGTGTGTAGGAGAAACTATGGTGGCCACGAAACTTGCGCAAGGCCCTATCTACAGCCAGTGTTTGGTTTGTCCGTTCTGGGCTACTGTAGAAACATGGTGGTTCAACATAGCG